AGAGAGAGAGAGAGAGAGAGAGAGAGAGAGAGAGGAAAGTGAATCGAGGTGGGTAAAGGGAACTATAGGGAAGGGAGGAGATTAAAGAGAGATATGAACGGGAGTCGTATAAAAACATACCTTAGATGCAGGTCACTCTTCAGGGAAAAAGGAAGAAGGGAAAGACTGGAACGAAGGATTGACAAAGGGAGAAGGAAGTCCATAAAAGAAGAGCTGTTTTTCCTCTCATTGGGAAGTGGGAACGAAGAGAAAGAACTTTATTTGCATTTTCGTTTCTATGTGGTAGAAATTGCGGGAGAGAGCCAAAATTTGAGGATTTAGTGGAGCCAAAAATTTCGGATTTGGAGCCCAAAATTTTGTATGGAAAATTTAGGAATGTGCAGGCGGGAAAAAAATGTGGGAGATTGCTTATAAATTTTTGGAAAACCAATTTTCATGGAGTCCTCAATTTAAAGGCGTATCAATTATCTAATTTATTAGTAAGAAGTAAGAACATTTTGTTGAGTTCATCTTAATTTTATCATCCATAATATTTTTATTTCTTAATTTCATTTAAAGTTTAAATAAATAAATTGTTACATTGTTCCAATGTTGTCAATTTGTGGGTCGACCCGTTGGTTGACCCAATATGATCCTGATTGGTAAGAAAAACGGGCCGCACACACCTGTTTGGTCGACCGCCTTCAGGTATCGGGTTGCAAGTCAAATTGTGTCATTTTTACTTTTGATTTGCTAAATGCGTCTATTTTTTTCTTTCCTTTTCGCCTAACCCAATCTTTGGAATTTGAAGTTAAATATTTGAATATTAATGGTATATAAATATGTATGAGTTTTCACTATACTTTGGATCCAAATACAACATTTTATTCTGGTGTATTGATATATTAGTCATATCTTAGATGATATTTTATATAACTTATAAATGTATAAACAGGATAATGTCTTCTTTCAGATATTCGGGCTAAACCGAGTTAAAATAGTCGGACTATTAATCTTCAACCCACTTGCTCGACTAGGCCAACGAGTTAAACATGGTTGACAACCTTGCATTGTTCATGATAATTAATCAGGAGTAACTGCTAGTCATATTGTTCACGGTAATTAACCGTGACTAACAATTAATCACGGGAAAATAAGACTAAAAAGTTGTTGAATTAATTCCCGTGATTAGAACTGTACAATCAAATACAGGAATTTTTCCCGTGACTACTAGTATACTTCTAAGTACAGGAAAAGTTCCCGTGAATAAGATCCCGTATCTAAAAACCAGTTTTCCTGTAGTGTAGTGTACATGGACAGCCCATATCCAGGCATCATAAATTATTATATAAAAAAAAACTAAATTCGTTGCTTGCTCTATGCCTATAAGAATTAAAGGAAATTACCAAAAAACCCTTCCGTGGGTTGCGCACGAGCCGGAAAAAGTGAAATTAGAGGAGGGTTGGAGGAGAACCTCCATTATATATTGTTTGATATTTTAAAATAATTTTAGACTTTTGTCTCGCGGAGTGTTCTCATATTTCGAAAAACTTATAAGACACATATCTCATATGTGATCACATAAGTCTTTACAAATGTCATTTCTACACTTGTGGTGGAGTCTGCTAACAAAGCTAAATTACTTTTTCAATGACAATGATCTTAAAACGGTCAAAAGATTATATTCAGTTCTAGAAAATCTCTATTCTATCTTCACAAGATATATTAAAAATCTGACAAATGAGGAATGAAGTTTGATGGTAAGCTAAGGCCATTATTTAGGTGTCGTTTGATGGTAGAAATATTAACTAATATTGATAAGATTTATGTTTCATATTTCATCGAAACTTAACAAGTGCATTTACATTTAGACATGTTTCTCCTAGCCCATATGGAATTCGACCCACAACTTTTATAACTTCGATCTATACTACATCACCTCACAAAATGCATGTTGATCAACCATGAATCTCCTCTTTGGGTTACAATATAAGCAGTTACAATGAATCTCTTCATTGGGCTAATGTTGCATATAAACAATACTAAGCAACAAATAGGAAAAAACTCAATAGATATATTTATTCAAATCATTATATGCAATTTGAAGCTTTTAGGTTCCATACACTTAAACAACTATCAAACTAGCGACTCTTGGATCCATTTTTTTTATGGTTAATAAAAAATTGAATTGAAGTCCGGGAAGTGCAACTCGCAACTTCCCTCTAAAAAATGTAACTGTTTGTTTACAACTCTATATAACCAAAAACACTATGCAATTACTGACTAGTTACATGAAGCTTTTGTACTGTCAACCGGAAGTGAACATGACTGCCTGCAAAAAATAAAAAAATTCTTTTTTTTTATATGGTAAAAAATAAAAAAATTCTTGCTTGATCCTCTCTGGAAGCTGCAAAAGGGGAGTTGGCTGCTACGGTTCCATAAAACCTTGCACACCTCTCTTTCCATATCCAGCTGATTCCCATTAATCAAAGAACCCTACCCACCACAGCTGCATAAGAGGATTGAGACCAGCTTCTCTTTGCCCAATCAAGATGCATCTGCCAATCAGGGAAACCAGAAAATACCCAAATTCCCTGCAACACCTGCTTCAAAACTACAATGCCATATGCACAAGAACTCAACAAGTGATCTCTACTCTCCATACACAAAAAGCATCACATCTAACCCCCCAGCTGATCAACTTATCACGTGTTCCGATTCTCCCCAAAAGGATTAAACATACCAGAACACAATGCTTAGGATTCGATAAATCGGCCTATTCCATAAGAGATGGGACCATGATACCTCAGGGGATGGAATCCGAATTGCTTCCCACACTTTCTTAACTGAATACTTAGCCAAAATTATCTCATCCCACGCCAATGACTCCCCTCTACCAGTAATATGATGTTGTGCCAAGCCACGACACTTAAGGATTTTCCTCCAAACCCATGTACTAACCGAGCTAGCTAGGAGAAAGAGACCAAATATCCCTCCCTTTAATCCTATACTTGCTCATCCAGTCTACCCATAGAGATCTAGCCTCAGCCAATAAGTTCCATAAATGCCTAATAACATAGGCCTTGTTCCAGTTCTTGAAGTCTTGAATGCCTAAGCCACCCTCATTTCTCTGCAAAGCTACATGTGACCAAGCAACAAGAGCTTTCCTCTTTTTATCTCCTTCCACACCCCACAAGAATTTGTTACGGACATTCTCAATCATCTTAAGCACCTTCATGGGAGACTCATGGATCCATTAAACAAATAGAAACATCAAAAGAGAGAAGCAAACTTAGTTTGTTTAAATTGGCGGCCTTTTTGCGTCTGGGACAGTTTTGAGAATGTTTTAGACCACAGCTCCTCCGCTAGGGTTTCAAGAAAATTATGAAGGGAAAAGGTGTCTCTAGATGCAAAGAGACCTTCTATAAGGTGTTTTTTCAATTAAGAACTCGAAGTTTCTATTTATAGGTTTGAAAAATAGTTTTTTTTTTCTTCCTTAAAAGTTTCTAGGAAAAAAATCTCTCTCTAAGTAATATTGGCGATTATCCTTTCTTTGGAGCTCAAGAGAAGTCTTGTGATCGTCATAAATAAAAAATGAAATCTTTTCGAGTTTGGGACAAGCTGGGTGACCCCATGACTGCAAAACCATCACAGTATTATGACCTTGTTCAAATCCAATTTCTAGCTTCTGGTTATGGGTCATAATGCGCTCTACGTATACTTTGATCCTCTTTGATGCCTTACCTTGAAACTAATGAAAAACTATCAAAAAGACATCAAATATGTAAAAAGACTCATAGAGGCTACGAAATATATGTTTGAACGGTTATGAAGGAATTCATGATAATTGGCTAATAAGAATGTATAATATGGTATATAACATGCCATGAAATGAGGTATAAAAAGTTCATTGAAAAATATGATGTTTTGTGATTTAATAGATGACATCAATTTTGATATTTTTTTTGGAGCAAAATTTTTACCATGATGTATCATGATATGATATTGATTAGATGACATGAAACACGCGTTTTAAGGTATAATTTTTTCATCGAAACATAACAAAATAAATATTATTGATCAAATCATAATTAATGTATTTTTTTATTTTTTAAAAATTTGAATGAAAATAAATGAGATATAATCCAATTGAAAAAATGAAAAATTTTCAAAAATAGAATTTGATTAGTTAAAAGTCTCCTCTCTATTGTCTAGAATCCTTGTCAATCAAAGTGAAAAAAGAAAGACAAAGAAGCATGAGAATTGCCGGACTGCCCCTTCTTTATCTTATCCAAGTTAACCGATGGTAAAAATCAATTTGGAATAGACAAGAAGAGATGACATCTTTGTAAATTGAGTTTTGCGCAAAATTTATTCCCTAGAGAACTACATTTAATCAGCAATTATTTATAATACAAAAATATTTGTAGGTCCTTTGAATGATGAATTGAATGGATCAATTTGACACAATTGTCTCGTTTTGAGACAATTGTACCAAATTAACTCGTTTGTCCACAAAAAAATTGGGTTAAAGACACATTTGGTCACTGAGATTACAAAATCGGGACATATTTAGTCACTAGAAAAAGTTAATATCAAATTTGGTCACTACAATTACTAAAACTGGACACATTTAGTCACTCGCCGTTAGTCTCCGTCCAACTCCGTTAATGAAGTCCGTTAAGTGCTGATGTGGCAAACAGAATTGCCTAATCAGCCGGATATAACCCAACAAAAATAAAACCCGACCCGCCACGTCATTATAACCCGCCACGTCATGAAAACCAACCCAACCCATGACCCAACCCCACCCAACCCTTCTTCCTCCTTCCTCCCAACCAAGGCACCTCCCACCTCCTTCTTTCCCCAAAACCACCGCCGTCGTCACTCTCCTCCTTCCTCCCACCTCCTCCCGCAAACCTGTTCGACCTAACCCAGCAAACCAATCCTTCACCATCCTCACCACTGAAACTATCCCCGCCCACTGAAACCTCCAGCAGATCAATTCCCCCCTCGAAAAAATGCCAGCCGACAAGACAATGGAAGCGGTGAAAGGCCTCGACGTCCCGCGGTACATGGGCCGGTGGTACGAGATCGCCTGCTTCCCGTCCCGATCCCAACCTAGAGACGGCGAGAACACCCGAGCGACCTACACATTGAAGGAATACGGCGCCACCGTCGGCGTGCTGAACGAGACGTGGAGCGGCGGGAAACGGAGCTACATCGAAGGGACGGCGTACAAGGCCGATCCCAACAGCGACGAGGCGAAGCTGAAGGTGAAGTTCTGGGTCCCGCCATTCCTGCCGATTATCCCTGTCACCGGAGACTACTGGGTTCTATACATCGATCCGGAGTATCGGCACGCGCTGATCGGTCAGCCGAGCCGCAGTTATCTTTGGGTAATGTGTTCTTGATTTTGCCTAATTTTGTCAAGCCGGGGAGTTTCAAAAGCTGTCTATTTTGAATTTACCCTGTTCTTGAGCTCTGGATCTGGAATCGCAAAAGGGTCAAAGTTTGAAGTTTTTTTTTTTTTTTTGGTTGGGAGGAAGGAGGAAGAAGGGTTGGGAGGGGTTGGGTCATGGGTTGGTTTTAATGACGTGGCGGGTTATAATGACGTGGCGGGTCGGGTTTTATTTTTGTTGGGTTATATCCGGCTGATTAGGCAATTCTGTTTGCCACATCAGCACTTAACGGACTTCATTAACGGAGTTGGACGGAGACTAACGGCGAGTGACTATATGTGTCCAGTTTTAGTAATTATAGTGACCAAATTTGATATTAACTTTTTCTAGTAACTAAATATGTCCCGATTTTGTAATCTCAGTGACCAAATGTGTCTTTAACCCCAAAAAAATTGGATGAATTGATTTCTCTTAGATAGTTTGAATTGATTCATTTTGAATCAATTTTAATTGTATATAATGAAAATAAGTACTAGAAAGTTCGAATTGACTCATTTTAATTATCTTGTTTATAAATAATGAGACAATTCAACAAATTGTATCATTTAATTCATTAAAAAACATTATATTTTACAAAAGTGCACAAAGAAATAGATAAAATCGAATAAGCAGAAAAAAGTTAAGGAACAGAAAAGAATTGGAAATCAGAAAGTGTCTGTCATTTGAATCTCACCCTCCAGAATTCCCCTATTCCATCTCTACTCTCCTCACCCGGCAGAGCAGCAGCACTTTATCAGGCAGCAGTACACAATGACAAAACAGCACACAATTAATTTTAATTTAAATAAATATTAAAGTTTCGCGACTATCTCTCTCTCTCTTTTTCTTTTTGTTTTCTCTTCTTTGACGCTCTCCAGTTTTTCCTTTCTCCACTCACAAACGGAGTCATTGCCCCAGCCTGCCCGCCACCTCCGCTTCTCTCTGTCGTGTCCCCTCTCTTTCCTTCTCTCTCCCTCTCGCTCGTCTCTACTTAGTTCCTCATTTGTCATCCGCGGCGTCGGCGGTCGTCGGTCCTCCATCCCGTCTTGGGAAATCTGCCCCTTCCGGCGGCTGGAAAACCGTCTCCATCCGGTGGGCGACTAACCGCCGCTGCACGAATTCCGAGGAACTGTTTGTTGCTCCTCTCTGGCGTGCTTTTCTTCTTGCTACCGCAGCAGCAGCAGCCAGTCCATAGTGGTGGCGATCACCGAGTTTGACTTGGAATTTCCGTTTTGATTTTTCTCTGCATCGGGAGGGGACTAGTAGATCTGTGGAGGGAGCTGGTTTTCGTTTTCTCTCTCTCCCTAATTTGGTTGGTTGGGTGGAGGAAAAGGGAGCAGACAAGAGAAGAGAGGAATTGGCTGCGGCGGCGCCGGCGGGTGGGTTTTGATGTGAGGAGTGTGGTAAATGGTATATGATGAACGGAGCCCTGGTGAGCGATCGGAGAGGGAGGTGGCGTTTTGGTAGGAATTTCTTCACATGGAATGGCAGATCTTGTTAGCTACGGTAATGCCGACCGTGACACCGAGCAGGTCTGTTTCTCTGCAACTCTCTCTTCTCTCCAAACATGCAGGCATGCCGTTGATGTCAAATTTAAGAAATTTTGTTCTATTTGGTCCCCTGAAATTTGGCAATTCCATTTCATCTGCTTACGTATTACTGCATACGGCCGAACGAGAACCAAAAGCCATAACTTTAGGATGATTTATTTGATTGAATCGAAATTTTCGTCTGACGAGGGAAACTATTTTGGGGCCATTTGTTTAGAACATCCTCTGAAGAATTTTCTCCTGATTTCTGTTGTAGGGGTTAGTTAGCTCTGTGTGAGTAACTTTTTAGAACTGCCTTGTTTCATCATCTGGGATTTGGAATTCTAGGGGTCTGTTTCTATGCCTTTGGAGAGCGAATGGCTTAGTGAAAGGACATTTTAGTTGCATTGCTTCATGTTCTATAGCCTGTTTGTATAATGTATGCTGGTGTACATGCCTGTTCATGAATGAAACACAGTGGATGGACTTGACTAAATTGTGCCTTGTTATGGACTGTGATTGTAAAATTGGGGGCTCTCGAAAGAAAATAACGGAACAAGTAGATAGAGAGGGGATGCTAGTTACTATAAGAAAGAAGGCCACTTTCTGCTTAGTTTTGACTTGTGATTGTAAATGTGCATGTGGACAATATATACTTTGCTGGTGCCCTAGCTATGACCTTGCTACTTGGTTCGGTGTACTAGGAAGTGTTGGTAACTGTATGAAGGATGCTGTTGGCCACACCTCTAACTTGCATTGTGATGTGTAAAAGCACAACCAGTTGATCAGGACTTCTTGTTCTATTTCTTGCTTTCGTACTCTATCTATCTGCCACTTAGCTCATTGTGCTAACAATTTATTGGTCTACTTTCCATAGGCTTTAATTGCTTTGAAGAAGGGGGCTCATCTTTTGAAATATGGTCGCAAGGGAAAACCCAAGCTTTACCCATTCAGACTTTCTTATGTAAGTTTGATCTCCTACTTTAGCATGTTGCGGGTCTGATCGATTCAGCTATATTAGTGAGAGGATCCTTACTTAAGCTATATAATAATTCTCTAGTCTGGATATATCAGTTTACACACACTATAGAAATGATGCTGTATAGAGCTGTTGGGTGGTTACTTATATGCGTGATGTAGTTATCTTTAGGGTTTGAAAGAAGCAATGAAATTGTTGTCTTATTACTTGGGAATCCTTTTTTTTAGTCTAATGTTACTTGAGAGTAGTTAATGGAATTCTTGTCTTGTTGTTATGTTTCATTGCATTCTTGTAGTGTATATGGATACAGCTGGCAAGTTTAGTTCTTGTAGAAGGCTCTAGCATTTCAAAGTCTTGCTTATATATCCAACAAGATTTAGGTGTTGATAAATCTTGTGGAACTTTATGCTCATAACTTGGCCATGGACGGCATGATTTCCTTGGATAGCTACCTTTGGGGTCTCATGTTCAGTAGTCTGTTATATTTGGATTTCCAATGGAAGATGCACAAGTGCCCGGCTTGAGCTATCTTCTGAACTTTTGATAGGGGGCTTTTGTTGTATTGTTTTGCATTGTCTACTATGTTCGATCTTCCTCTGTCACTAATACTCTACAGGGCTCTCCATTAATTTCTTGCTTTCTGAATTGCAGGATGAAACAACTTTGATTTGGATTTCAAGTAGTGGTGAAAGAAGTTTGAAGTTGTCTTCTGTCTCTAGAATTATTCCTGGACAAAGAACTGTGAGATTTCTACACCTTCTTATGAGACTGAGTTTCTATCATTAGTTTGACTGTATCAGGGCCAATGCATTTAGCCCGTTGCTCTTGTCAAAGACTGAATTTAGCTTTTCCTTCCTATGTGTATCAACAGGCTGTCTTTCAGCGATATCTGCGCCCTGAAAAGGACTACTTATCCTTTTCTCTTATATACAATAACGGAAAGAGGTCTCTTGATCTGGTTAGTGGGATCATATGCATTTTTGGTTGAACTGACTTATGATTTAGTCTTCAGTCTTATGTGCATTGTTGGTTTCTAGATTTGCAAGGACAAGGTTGAGGCAGAGGTGTGGATTGCAGGATTAAAGGCATTGATTGCTTCTCGTCAAACTGGGCGCTCGAAAATCGATGGATGGACCGATGGGGGCCTCTACATTGATGTAATCCTCTTGTTACATGGTGTTAACTTTTGCATGTAGTAACCAATTTTTGCCAACTCCAAATCCAGCTTTTGCCTAGACTTTTTAATTTCTTCCTCATAAAATTTAACTATTCTTTGCTTCCATTTATTCTCCCGTGTCATTCAAGATAAACATCTACGTCTGTTCATTTTAAATCCTGTAATCAACTGATTGTGAATTGTACTGCTAGTGTGTCTAGTTTTCTATGTAAGCCATGATACAGTCTCAAAACTTTTCTCTCTTGTTTATGCAAGGTTTTCATGTCACTCGATCATTGCTATTCCTGATGGTTCCTTGATGTGTCTTTTTTGCTGAATTTGTTCAGGACAGCAAGGATTTGACATCAAATAGTGCTAGTGACAGTTCTGTTAGCATCACACGAGATATTAGCTCCCCAGAGGTTGTAGCTGTCAGTTCTAATCCCACTTCTACTTCTCCCAAGAGGTTTCGGCCTGAGAATTCTCCACAATCTGATCGATCACATGTAGGATTAGACAACAACAACACAAACATGCAAGTTAAAGGTTCTGGTTCAGATGCTTTTCGAGTCAGTGTTTCCAGTGCACCTAGCACTTCTAGTCATGGATCTGCACCAGATGACTGTGATGCCCTAGGTGATGTATACTTGTGGGGGGAGCTCATTAGTGATAGTACCGTGAAAATTAGTGCTGATAAAAATGCCACATATTTGAGTTCTAGAGCAGATGTTCTTCTTCCCAGGCCACTAGAGTCTAATGTCGTTTTAGATGTAAATCACATAGCCTGTGGTGTAAAGCATGCTGCTTTAGTTACAAGGCAAGGTGAAATCTTTACATGGGGTGAAGAATCGGGCGGTCGTCTTGGCCATGGTGTAGGGAAGGATGCTATTCAACCTCGTCTTGTTGAATCACTTGCGGTTACTAGTGTTGATTTCGTGGCATGTGGGGAGTTTCATACATGTGCAGTAACAATGGCTGGTGAACTCTATACATGGGGAGATGGCACTCACAATGCTGGACTTCTTGGTCACGGTACTGATGTCAGTCACTGGATACCTAAGAGAATCTCAGGTCCTCTCGAGGGACTGCAGATTGCTTCAGTAACTTGCGGGCCATGGCACACGGCGTTGATAACATCAATGGGCCAGCTTTTCACCTTTGGAGATGGAACTTTTGGGGTCTTGGGTCATGGTGACAGAGAAAACATTGCCTATCCTAGAGAAGTAGACTCTTTATCCGGTTTAAGAACCATAGCCGTAGCATGTGGTGTGTGGCATACTGCTGCTGTGGTGGAGGTTATAGTCGCACAGTCTAGTTCAAGTGTTTCCTCTGGGAAACTGTTTACCTGGGGCGATGGAGATAAAAACCGTCTTGGACATGGAGATAAGGAACCTCGGCTTAAACCCACCTGCGTTCCAGCCTTAATTGAGTACAACTTTCATAAAATTGCTTGTGGGCATAGTCTAACCGTTGGTCTGACAACATCTGGAAATGTGTTCACTATGGGAAGTACTGTTTATGGTCAACTGGGAAGTCCCCAGGCAGATGGGAAGTTGCCCTGTTTGGTCGAAGATAAGCTTTCTGGTGAATTTGTTGAAGAGATTGCGTGTGGTTCGTATCATGTTGCAGTTTTGACTTCTAAGAGTGAAGTTTATACATGGGGTAAGGGAGCAAATGGGAGGCTAGGGCATGGAGATGTTGAAGATCGTAAAACGCCGACTCTGGTTGAAGGCTTGAAGGATAGAAATGTAAAATACATTGCTTGTGGTGCAAACTACACAGCTGCCATATGTCTTCATAAATGGGTATCTGGTGCTGAGCAATCTCAGTGTTCTTCATGCAGACAGGCTTTTGGTTTTACTCGAAAGAGACACAACTGCTATAACTGTGGACTAGTACATTGCCACTCTTGCAGTTCAAGAAAAGCAATTAGAGCTGCCTTGGCTCCCAATCCTGGGAAACCCTATCGTGTCTGCGATTCCTGTTATGCTAAACTAAGCAAGGTCTCAGAATCTAATAACATCAGAAGAAACTCGGTACCTCGGCTTTCGGGTGAGAACAAGGACAGGCTTGACAAGTCCGAGATTAGGTCATCCAAGGCTGCTTTGTCTTCTAATGTAGATTTGATTAAGCAATTAGATAGTAAAGCTGCAAAGCAAGGAAAGAAAGCAGAAACATTCTCCTTGGTCCGATCCTCTCAAACACCATCTTTATTGCAGCTGAGAGATGTTGTTTTGTCTACTACGATTGATTTAAGATCAAAGGTTCCCAAACCAGTTCTTACGTCGTCTGGCATGAGTTCGAGGTCTGTGTCCCCTTTCTCAAGGAGACCTAGTCCCCCTAGGTCGGCGACACCTGTTCCAACGACATCTGGGCTTTCCTTCTCGAAAAGTATTGCTGATAGTTTGAAGAAAACAAATGAGCTTCTTAATCAGGAAGTGATGAAGTTGCGTTCACAGGTATGTTTTACAAAGCTACTGTTTGTTTCTGATGTATATTGGTCTGGAGTGGATGAAAAAATCTTACTTTTCCTCTGTCTGGTTGATGGTTCTGGATTAGGTTGACGGTCTGAGACAGAAGTGTGAGTTCCAAGAATTGGAGCTCCAAAGGTCGGCCAAAAAAATGCAAGAAGCTATGGCAATGACTGCAGAAGAATCAGCCAAATCGAGAGCTGCAAAAGATGTTATCAAGTCGCTCACTGCACAGGTTGGTTTTATCCGGCATTTGCCATTGGAATTTTGTTAGCTTGTCAGTTGCACTCTTGACTCAAAATTTTCAAACTCTGGGTTAAGTGACACCTGTCTCGTTGAATTGAAATGTTGGAGTTTATAAAACTTAAATCTCTTTATTCCATATGAAAATTAATTGCAATATAGTTGTCTGGCTATGCTTGTTAGTGTGACCATATAAGACACAGAAAGTGTGACTCTTGGTTATTGTTAGTTCACCAAATAATGTTTCGTGTATCTTATGATAATTTTCTACTGCAGCTCAAGGAATTAGCCGAAAGGTTGCCACCTGGCGTCTACGACCCTGAGAGCTTAAAGCCTGCTTACCTACCAAACGGTTTGGATTCAAACGGTATTCATCATGCAGATACCAATGGAGACCGGCATTCAAGATCCGAATCAATCAGTGGGATGTCACTGTCATCTCCAACTGGACTTGATTTTAGTTCAGCAAATGGAAATCATCACGGTTCTATTCAATCGTTTGGGGACCTATCCGGACACAATGGCAGCAGAGAAGACCATTCAGATGCCAGGCTGTCGAATGGCTCAGGAGCTCGTTCAAGTAGGAGTATATTAGAGTCCATTGATGGAAAGGAGTCGTCTGGACCCATTCAAGATGGCGAGACTGGTTCGAGAACTCGAGATCCAGTAGCATTGCCTGTTAACGGTAATCATGTTGAGGCTGAATGGATTGAACAGTATGAGCCCGGTGTGTACATAACTCTCGTGGCCCTCCGTGATGGAACTAGAGATCTCAAACGTGTTCGCTTCAGGTACATTTTATCTGATCCAAAAGCCAGCATGTAGCATAATTCTTCATTTATTGCTTGAAAGTTGGAGAATTGTTTTTTTGCATCTAGTTGCCATGGACTAGTTCACTCGGGGGAGTAGTTTTGGTTTGAAGGATCTATCCTACGGTGACGTTTAACATGGTATAGTTAGTGTTCAGAAGTAGTCCGGTTCCTGAATCAGGGTAGGCCTAGATCAAAATATTGAAAAATGAGGACAATGACCAAAGCAAAAGTGGAATTGCATTTTTTCCTCCTATGTTTCGGCTCAGCTTTCTTTAGGTGCCTAGGAATGAAGCTTAAGAGAAATAATATTCGCATCGCACATTGTAAATTTACAATGTTTTCTCTCGTGACTGCAACAGCCGGAGGAGATTTGGGGAGCATCAAGCAGAGACGTGGTGGTCGGAAAACCGAGAGAAAGTATATGAGAAATACAATGTGCGTGGATCGGACAAATCGTCGGTTTCTGCTCAGGCTGCTCGGAGATCAGAGGGTTCGGTGTCATCTGCTTCTTAACCTTTTGCAGTACAAACAGAAGGAAGTGAAGAACAAATTTTGCAAATCTTCACCAGGTGAAGGGATTGTCATCAAAGGCTTAGTGAGATGGAAGTAGAAAATCAACAAGGCCTCTTTTGTGATTAAGTTCTCTCTGCTGCCCCCTCTTCTCCTTCAGCTATGGTAAAAAATTGTCATTCTTTTTGTCTTTAATTTAGAAACTGGCTATATCTGTTGTATTGTAGTGTATATAGAAAATGCATCAATTCTAAGGTGGTATTATGTGGCCCGATTAGAGAAAATTCTTTTGTTCCTGTCTGTATCTAATCTAATTGAGTAGGGTAATGTGGAGGCGAGTGATTGAGACATCAAAGCCAGGTTCAATCTGCATTTTCTTGGTGAATTGTATCATACTCTCAACACGAACATTCTCGTCACACGAGCCAGATGGCAATCTGAAGTAGTTGATTCGACCGAGTTGCTTTGCTGCAGTAATTTGCAGCTTGCTCTCTGCCTTTCCCTGTACACACAGCGTTTATATTATGCAAGGTAACAAACAAGTTGGCCTACTCTTGTACTTTGTTTTTATGGCAAAGGCGCACTACCTCGAAAGTCTGAGTGTGTTAGGTCAGCTACCAAGGATAATTCACGTTCAATTACAGTAACAACGAAAAGGTCCAGCACTATATGGCCACACTGATGTTATAATATATAGTTCCAGAAAAGCCTGGATCATCACCCAATGACTTTGCAAAAGACCTAAAAAAATGCATCTCCTGAGTTTAGTGGCATATGTAGTTGCCAAACTCTCAATTAGACAGAACAGGAATGTAGGAAGACAGGCCGACAGGTAGCCGACTGTATGAGGAATAAGGTATGATAAGTAGTGTGGCATTACATTCAGCGCCGGCTTAGGATAGAATGGTTACTGACCTCTGAGTAACTAAATTGGGACCTTCACTCACTATTTACAGCCAAATTGCAATCGATGTACTTTAGTTATCTCAATTTTAAGTGATGTATTTGTTCACCTATAAAAAAGGAGAAACACATCATATACACTGGACTATGAGAATTTGTGGAAGGGTACCGCTAAAGTGAAAATAGGGTACATAAAATCTATTGAATTGTGCACCTATCCAAAATTTTGTCATCTTTCGTTAAACAATTTTTTTTTTAAAAAATCAAATTAATCATTAGAAAAAGTAAAAAACAATTTCTATAATATCGAGGTCCTAGAAAAAGGAATATAGGACACACATGCTTACTCCCTCTAAAGGAATCCTCGTCTTAAAATATTGTACCATACATACATAAGGTGATAACCTGACATAACAACTTCTCTTAGTAAGTTCTTATAATCTTATGTCAACATTTTAACACAAGCAATTCCCTCAACACTTAACTGCTGAATATTTGCTACCTTAGTGACTTGTTTTGGACGAAGAAAATATTATAGAGCTCTTTCAAGTTACTGGTTATGTAATTAAAATACGTAGAGTCGAGAAACCAAGGACGAGCCCTACATGCATGCTAAACTTTAGTAGGTTGCGAATATAAGTTGAAAAAAACTTATGGACCATAGCTTATCAGATGTCTGGGGGGATGCCAACCTATATCCATAAAGAAATAAAATCACATTAGTGTCGCTCATATAAAAGAACACGAGCAGGTAATGCAACCCCAAAAAATGTGATAATCCTTTAAGCTCTACTTAGGAGTCATCATTATATTGTGTGCATCGGATGCAAAATATGATGTTTAAGTTCCATTCGACCATGAATTCATGCTCCATGACTTGGATGGGCTAAAGTTACATTGAGACCTCTCAAACCACAAATGATTGCATTTGGTTCTAGATTGGACTTGCCCCTTTTTTGTCTCATTCACCTATGGTTCCTTCAAGTTGTCCTATATATGCTAAAGTTCATAGAATATGGAATCTATGACTTTTTAGTTTCCTTAAGATCTCGCTCCTCCACCTTACAATCAGTGCCTATTCGGATATCGGTTGAAGTAGCCTGTCAAGAGGTCTCGACTATACTCTGAGAAAAGTCAGACCCATATGTTGTGGCTCGACCAGTAACCAATGGCGAAAACTAAAAAATTCAAGATTTCCCAATAGAACTTCATTTCGCCCAAGTTGTTTTGGAACCGGAAAAAAGAAGTGTTTTTTCGCACTCTGATGCACTATTATTGGCGCCTATTCCTTAGGGAATGACCGGAATTAAGTTGCGTAGCCCGCGTGGGACTATTCGCTGGGGTCGGCCTTTCGTACTCAAATCCGTAGGGGGATTTTTGTTGTGTTCTAGCGGGTATTTTTTTGTTTGAGGGAGCTCTGCTAACCTAGCTATATCCTTAAATAAATAAAATCATATTAGTTTTGGCCATATAAAAGAACACACACATGTAACAAAAATCTAAAAAATGAAATGGAAAAACCCTATACACTCGTCTAAGGAGTTGTGTGCATCGGATGTAAAATCTTATGTTTGGGTTCTATTCGACCGTTACTTCATGCTCCTGGACTAAGAAGTGCTAGAATTACACTGAGAGCTCTCAAGCCGCAAAGGATTGCATTTGGTTCTAGATTAAGGTTGCTCCCTTCTTGTCTAATTTACTTATGTCTCTCTCAAAGTCATCCTCTGCTGGGTGAATCCATAGAATATGGAACCTATGAATTTTTTGGTTGCCTTAGGACCTTGCTCCTCTACCTCCACACCGAGGCACCTAGAGCATGTTGACGCTTAAGTTGAATCAAATTGAAAAATTGATATTGCTTTGGAGGGGTTCTGGTAGTCCAAAGTTCGCCAAAACCCATACAACTCTTATGCATAGAACTAACGACTAACATCCCTAGCCTCGGTGACCTAACAAGCACGACCTAAAACTAGCATGCCCAACTTTCCTTTAATTTCTCCTTATCTATCATTAGTTTGATAACATTGGTGCTAACCGTCTTCCTTAAGTGCATGCATAGGGCCTCAATTATTCTATTAATAAGGAAGGTCGGGGAGATGTGAAGCTCTGCCCCAAATACCACAAATTGTTTCTCAAAGCAGTATCGGTTCTTGTAGAAAATAATGACTACCTCAATGTACGTCTTTAACGACGAGTGTGATGACTCGACTCTGTTCGTGCAAATTTTCCCACGAAGGAGCACATCCTTCTTACATAAAGTTGCCCACTTTATCTTATACGACATTCATTCTACATGCACGTGAGTTACCAAGTCTTTGTTTTGAGTTACCCATACAATACTGAGCTCGCCAATTTCGCATGCATTCCTTGAGTTATCCAGGAATGAATGGCTTAGCTAAAATAATTCTTAAAGATATGCTCCACCAGCTGCTTGTTTGACCTCCTTGAAGCTGTAAGATATTGACATGGGAAGAAAAGCCTGATTTTTTTATTTTGAACTCTTAATACATATTACAGGAGGGTTTGATGGAGGTTTGTTACAAGTGGTTGCAGGGAAATAGCTACCACTAACTACTCTACTGCTCGTGGACTACGGAATGGTTAGTTACAGGTGAAGAAATAATTAAGTGGAATAAAGAATTTCATTCTTTATCTCTAACACGCCCCCGCAAGATGGAGGTAGTGTCAACGACGCCAATCTTGGTACGCAACAGGAGGAAACGGGCTGCTGGTAATGGCTTGGTCAGTGCGTCCGCAAGTTGCTGAGTAGTCGGAACATACTGAACATGAAGGCGACCAGCTTGGACTAGGTGGCGAACGAAGTGGAAGTCCAGTGCTAGATGCTTCATCCTGACGTGGAATTGAGGATTAGAACTGAAGCTGGTTGCTCCAAGGTTGTCAGAGTACAACGTGTGTGGTGCACCGAGTAGTTGGTGAAGCTCAACAAGGAGGTTCTGAACCCACTCGAGTTCGGCACTAGCGTGCGCGATGGCTCTGTACTCGGCCTCGGTGCTGGATCGAGCTACTGTCCGTTGCTTCTAAGATTTCCAGGAGATGAGTGTTGCACCCAAATAGAGAATATAAGCCGAGGTAGACGTGCGATCGTCTTTGGTGGTTTGGCCAGTTTGCCCTTTAAGTGAATAATAGGAGAGGGAGAATTGCCACCATACAACTTCTCGATGATTAGCCAGGCCTCGCGGGAGGTGACAGCAGTTGACACAAATGAATAGAAGGAATCAGAGATCGAACAACGAAGAGCGTGGAGGATTAGTTTATCTTGGCGGAACCAGCGATGATAAGTCGGATTAGGAGTAGCATCATCATCAATGATGATGGTTTTCAGAGGTGCAGAGCCGGTGCCGTCGATGTAGGAATGGAGGTCGAGACCCATCAGAAGAGTCTCCAATTGAGATGCCAGGAATTGAAATTGAGCGAGGTGAGTTTCAGGGGAAGCTGAGCTGCAGGATTAAAGGTGATGATGGACTGATCAACAGAGGAGGAGCCGATGCCGGAGCTGGTGCTCGATGTGACCCTAGCGGTACCGTCAGCCATGATAACAAGAACAGAGAGACAACGAGAAAGAGGTGAAAAAATGTATATGAATCGATTCTAGCTAATCTTTGATAGCTCTGATACCATGTAAGATATTGATATGGGAAGAAAAGCTTGATTCCATTAATTGTGATGTTGAACTCTTATACAGATTATAGGAGGGTTTGATGGAGGTTGTTACAAGTGGTTGCAGCCTCGCAGGGAAATAGCTACCACTACTCTACTGCTCGTGGACTATCGAAATGGTTAGTTACAGGTGAAGAAACAATAAGTGGAATAAAGAATTTCATTCTTTATCTCTAACAGAAGCTTCATCCTAATAATTCAAAATCAAAACCGACAACCCCTCCTCCTCCAATCCTCCCTCGCCGACTGCCTCTCCACCGACCCCGCCACCGGCCACGTCTACATCACCCTGCAACGACAACGGTGCAGATTTCATCCACGCCTCCGCCGGCCGCATCTCCGCCGCCCACATCGTCAACGGGTTCTTCTCCCACGATCGCACCGTCAGCTACCACGGCCACACCTTCCCCCTCCTCGCCGTACAAGTCACCGAGCTAGCCGACGGTGCCGTCTTCATCGGCTGCTCCGTCAATCACGTCGTTTGTGATGACACCTCCTTCTGGAATTTCTACAACGCATTCGCCCAGGTCGCCCGCTGGGTGAAGCGGATCCCCTGTTTACCCAACTTCACCAGCAACGGCGACAATCCTCTCATGTCCTTCGCCTCCCTCACGGCGGACCACGTGTCACCTTCGACGAAACGACGTCGTTTAGCTAGCGGATTTTTAGATTCAGTCGTGAAGCGGTTCTAAAGCTGAAAGCAATGCTGTCAAAGCCGAGCCGGAGTATGACCCGGTAACGTGAGCGACTCGGTCATTAGTAGTCCAACCGACATTAGACCGTTTAAAAACCGTTTGAGAACCGGTATATTATAAACAATATAATATCATAGTAGAACACACATAAAGTAAGAATTCAATGATTTAATGAGTAAACATGATAATTACAGGTACCATTTAATAATTCTACACAACATATATATACAGCAACTAAAAAAAACCCTAACCTAATCCTAAACGACAGCGCCGCTTCCCCACCCATCACTCTCCTTCCTTCCGCTTCCCCATCCCCCCTCCCTCTCTCCTTCCTCCTCTCCCACCTCCGCACCTATTTTCATTTTTCAGCCACTATAGCCTTCTGCAATTCCTCAAAAATCCATCACCACATTCAATTCTTCCTCATCCTTTCTTAACCCGTAAATGCTCTTCCTCGTCCCAATCCACGAAATGGCTCGGGACAAGAGGTGTTGACGGCCGATTCCACGATTGGCCTTTTCTAAATTTTTTTTAGGGTAAACCAAACGACCGAACCGCGCGACCGGCTTGAGCGGTTAACCGCTTCGGCCGCTCGCCGGCCGCTGTATAAAACAGTGGCGGTTAAATAGCTGATCCGAGCCGGTTTTACGACCGGGTGGCGGCTTTGGCGGTCCGGCCGGCCGGCTCGGTTCGGCTTTGACAGTACTGGCTGAAAGTGATTGTCAATGAGAAGAAGGGAGGATATTGAATAGTTTCCAAGCAACAACAGGAAAACAAACGAACCGGTCAACGAAACGCCATTTTTCTCAGTCCTTTCCCCTTCTTCCCCAACTTTCACCTCGACTTCCCTAATCCGTATCGCCGGGAGACCCAACAATCCCGCCGCCAAATTGTTGCCTCCGATGACCCTACGCCGGCCGCCGTCGCCGACAAACCTAATGTAGTCAAGTTGGCGGAACGTAAACCTTCCTCGACTGCTCCTCCTCTTCAGTTGGAAGTCGATGGGCCTTCTCATCCCCTGCTCACTTATTCGATCGCGGTGGCTGATCCTTTCCTATGCTGTGGAGTGTTTTGTGAAAAGGAAACTTTGCTTATGGTTGGATTATATCCATATTGCTGGAGCGTTTGAGAGCAGTATAGAGGCACTCCTTTGTTTCTTTGTCTTTGTTTTTGTGGGAGGTTCTGTCTAGTCGACGAGTGGTGGTAGGGTTCATCGCCGACCGGACTAGAAGCAGCGTCGCCGCTGTGGGCTGTTGCAAATCATTTTTTCAGGTTGCTCGTCACCTGCCAGGTGTCTGCTCGTGATCACTTTCCATTGGTGGATGTGAGCGACAACACGGCTCTCCAAAAGTCGCTCTAATCCTTTCGCTATGCTAGCGGTGGAGGATAAGTATTATCCTCTTTTTTAACAATTTAATTTGTGTCTATCTTATGACAGGGCTATTTGTTTGCTTTTAGTTGGCTTAATTTTGCAGATTGGTCCGCTTCCAGTATCAAGGCGGAGCATTGTTGGCTGGGTGGGCCTTATTGTTTACTCCGGTGTATTTGCCTGGGCCACTTTTTATGGACCTGCTTGGTTTTCATCGCTACTTGGCCAGTCTAGTGGTGGCTTTTCGGGCCTCTATGTTTGTTCATTTTGCAGGTTAGTGGTATATTCGGTGGAGGCTTTATGGGCTTTTGTGCTGAACTGAGACCAGATTTACAAGGATTTGCTGCTCTGCTTCAATTTTTAACATGGTTAGTTCATGATTTTGATCCTTTTAAGGGGAAGAAATCATGATATTGCCCATGTCGTTCAGGTATCATAGGACAGCCCATATCGTGGCAGGAAAACCCTATTTTCTCAAATATGCAAAGGTCTTTTCATTTTTCATTTGTGATTTGACATGCAAAGGTCATGTATATTGTTATATACATGACCTTGTTGCACGAGGTCATGTATATATACTTTGTTATATACGAAGTATATTGTTATATACTTCGTATCTGCTTTTCTCCTTTGGGGATATCTATAAAAAAAAAAGAAGCTTCATCCTTGTTATCTTTGTTGAATTGTTTGTTATGTCTACGATGCTCTGGAAATAACACCTTATCGTGGTTGTGAAACCAATACTTCTCCTAGTTTGACATTGATCTAACCTCCACGATAATAAAGGTGTTTGGGCATTCACTGTGCGACACTTCTTTAATTCTCACTTGGAACTCACAATTTGTTCCGTCACACTACTATTCGCATTTAGCTCCTTCAAAAGTTCTGGTTTGTATGACTTCTCATCCCTTCTATCTCTATCACAATACATCTAACACGAATTAAGAGAATGCATTCCAACTTTATACGCTTTACTTGAACCCCTAATAATAAAAAGTCATGCGATTTAGCGATACTTTTTGCAGCTTCCTCAGCTAGATCGAAAGATGTATAGTGGATGCTAGTAACAAAGTATCATGTGTAATCGCAGTTCGGGTCGAACATTTCTAACATTTTTTCTACAATTACGATTATGTTATAGCACGTTAATATAAATATTTGCATATACTACTAATTCAGGTCTTTTGAAATAACTAACTAATTAACATCCTACGATAACATATTTTTAATAATTATAATGTAAATTCATCATTTATATTCAAATACTTTGCATATTCCAAATTTAAACATAATTTATTTCTGAATTGTGCAATTGATAACCGTAATCAACTAATTATTGTAGTTGATATTTATTAACTGAAATCAACTAAAAATCATCAAGCTGAAAAACCCGAGCTGTCAAAACCAGCACAGACAAAAAAAAGTTATGGTAAATGTGTAACACCCGACACCCAAATAAATAAAAAAAATCCCCAAATTGCCCTCCCAATTCATTTAACCAAACCCTATTCATTCTTCCTCCTTCGGCTCTTTGCTCATATTTATATAACTAAAACTAAAGGGAGGAAGGAAGAGTAGCCGCAACACCTCAATCTCCCTTTGCACGATCAAACACCCCGCCACCTCTTGGTTCCCATCTCCGACTCCTCTCCCTCCGTACCACTCCTCCCTTAGAGACAGTAGCACCCGAGCTCCCAAACTAAAACGACAGCCGGGAGAGACACAAGTCGGAAGCGACGCCAAATCGAACGCACACCGCTCCTCCATAGGTCGTTGCCTCTGTTCGTCGAGAGGTTGAACAAGGCAACGGTGAAGAATCGTTATCCATTGCCCAGGATAGATGACTTGTTCGATCAACTGCAGGGTGCTTCTGTGTTCTCAAAGATTGACCTAAGGTCGAGATATCATCAGTTGCAAGTGGCAGAATCCTCCATCCCGAAGACAGCTTTTCGAACTCGGTATGGACACTATGAGTTCCTGGTTATGCCATTTGGGTTGACCAATGCACCGGCGGCTTTTATGGCACTCATGAACAGCGTATTCCACGAGTATTTGGACAAGTTTTTCATCGTGTTCATTGATGACATCCTCATTTACTCAAAGAGCCACGATGAGCACAAGGAGCATTTGAGAATCACATTGCAGAAGTTGAGGGATGAGAAACTGTATGCAAAGTTCTCCAAGTGTGAATTTTGGCTAAAATAAGTGTTGTTTCTTGGCCATGTGGTTTCAGGGAAGGGGGTGGAAGTAGACCCCAAAAAAGATAGAGGAAGCGGTGAACTGGGTGCCTCCAAAGAATGTTCCGGAGTTAAGAAGCTTTCTAGGTATGACTGGCTACTACAGAAGGTTTGTAGAGGGTTTCTCAAGCATCGCCAGACCTTTAACCCAGTTACTACGCAAGGGAGTGACTTGTACCTGGAGTAAGGAGTGCCAAGAAGCGTTCGAGTAGCTTGAGAGGAAGCTTACTACTGCACTGGTACTGGTGTTACCATCAAGTGAGGGAGAGTATGCCATATAGAGTGATGCTTCATATAAAGGGTTGGGATGTGTTCTTATGCAGAACAAGAAGGTAATTGCTTATGCTTCCAGGCAATTACGACCACACGAGGTGAACTACCCGACCCATGATCTGGAGTTAGCTGCAGTAGTGTTTGCTTTAAAGTTGTGGAGACACTATCTCTATGGTGAAACTTTTAAGATTTTCACGGATCACAAGAGTTTGAAGCACCTGAGCAATCAAAAGGAATTGAATATGAGACAGAGAAGATGGATGAAATTGCTAGGAGATTATGATTGTACAATTGAATATCATCCTGGGAAAGCCAATGTGATAGCCGATGCGCTAAGTAGGAAGGAAAATAGCCCACTGCAGGAGCTTGTAGCACTCAGGGCTATGAATGCAGAGCTACAACTGGAGGATGCTACCAGTATGATGGCAAATCTGAGAATTAGACCACTATTGCATGATCGAATCAAGGAGAAGCAGAAGGATGATCCAGTTCTGGCTAAATACATTCAGGATGTACAAGATGGGAAGGATACCAAGTTTGAGATGGTGGATGGAATGCTACGCTTTGAGGGTAGAGCTTGTGTACCTAACGTGGAGAATTTAAGGCAGGAGATTTTGGATGAAGCTCTCTGTGCACCTTATGCCATGCACCCGGGATCAACCATGATGTACTGGACCTTGCATGAACATTTTTGGTGGCCCAATATGAAGAAGGAGGCAGCTGGGTATGTGTATAAGTGTTTGACCTGCCAGATGGTGAAGGCGGAGCATCAGGCTCCAGCAGGGAAGTTGAAGCCACTTGAAGTGCCGGAGTGGAAATGGGAACACATCACTATGGATTTCGTCTATGGATTGCCGAAACAGAGTGGGGGAATGACGGGGTTTGGGTGATTGTCGACCGCCTCACCAAATCCGCCCACTTCATTCCCATCAAGTTCAAGCCAGGGGTGGATGAATTAGCGGACTTGTACATCCAAGAGGTGGTACGACTACACGGAGTCCCTCTAACCATTGTGTCAGATCGAGACCCTAGTTTTACTGGACAGTTTTGGAAGAGTCTCCACAAGGCTTTGGGCACCAGGCTCCATTTCTCTACTGCATATCACCCTCAGATTGACGAGCATACATAGAGAACGATCCAGACGTTGGAGGATTTGTTGAGATCTTGCACGTTGCAGATGAAAGAATCGTGGGTAAGTACCTTCCACTATTGGAGTTTGCCTATAACAACCATTACCACAGTTCTCTGAGGATGGCACCGTATGAGGCCTTGTATGGGAGAAAGTGTAGAACTCCATTGTACTGGGACAAGGAAGGATTAAGGCAGATAGAGGGTCCAGAGATGGTACAAGACACAGTGGACAAAGTGAAGCAGATGCGGGAGAACATTAAGATCGCGCAAGATCGACAGAAGAGCTATGCTGATAAGCCAGGTGGGAGAGGACCCATGTAGTGGGAGACAAAGTGTTCCTCAAAGTGTCTCCATGGAAGGGAGTTATGCGATTTGGCAAGAAGGGCAAGTTGAGCCCTAGATACATCGGTCAATACGAAGTGCTGGAACGAGTAGGCCCTCTGGCCTATAGATTGGCACTACCTCCAAACCTGTCCAAGATCCATAACGTCTTCCATGTTAGCATGCTCAAGGGGTACAGATTAGATCCCACACACATCGATAGGTTGGAGGATATCCAACTAGACAATGATATCACATACACAGAGGAAACAGTTGGGATTATTGACCGCCAAGATAAGGAGCTACGAAGGAAGAAGGTTCCGATGGTGAAGGTGGTGTGGAGGAATCAAGGCACATAAGCAACCACATGGGAGATCGAGGAGGATATGAGAAAGGAATACCGAAAGTTTTTCTTGATATACCCTTGTAAGCGATAGATTTCGTTAGCGTTTTGACGATATCGACAGTAATAAGAGTGGAGACTCAGTGGCTTTTATTTTCTTATGACCTCAATTTCGTGGATGAAATTTTCTTAAGGGGGAAGGAAATGTAACACCCGGCACCCAAATAAATAAAAAATCCTCAAATTGCCCTCCCAATTCATTTAACCTAACCCTATTCATTCTTCCTCCTTCGGCTCTTTTCTCATATTTATATAACTAAAACTAAAGGGAGGAATGAAGCGTAGCCGCAACACCTCAATCTCCCTTTGCACGATCAAACACCCCACCACCTCTTGGTTCCCATCTCCGACTCCTCTCCCTCCGTACCACTCCTCCCTTAGCGGCCAGTAGCACCCGAGCTCCCAAACTGATAGGACAGCCGAGAGAGACGCAAGCCGAGAGCGACGCCGACTCGAACGCACACCGCTCCTCCGTAGGTCGTTGCCTCTGTTCGTCGAGAACAGTAGCTCCAAATCGTCCATTGGTAAGGATCTCAGAACCCTTCCCGTCCCGGTTCAATCCATTGCTAAACTAACCCAACCCGTGCACGTTCATGAACTGTAGCTTCGACGGCGAGGTTGCAGGGAGCTCAAACGACGATCAACGGCGAAAGAATCGACGCCCAAGGATCCTCAAATCCTTCTTCGGGCTCGTGTTAGAGGTAAGGAATCGATTCCCGACGTTTAACACGAACCATGGATGGTTATTTTCAGTTCATGCTGGATCTGGCTTTTAGCGACGAGTTCTACAGTTTTTTGGTAACGGAAATCTAGTCCGTCGCTAAAGGTTGCAGAAAATTCCAAATTAGTCCTTCCAGATTTGAATGGGAATGATTTGGTTCCTGAACTTTAATGTTTTACCAGAAACGCCCCAAAGTTGTAAATTGATAAAATTGATTTCTTGTATAAACCAAATAATAGGAGTGCTAGTGATTAGTAATTAATCCAAGACTTAGGACGTAAAATCATGGATACGTGTATATAAATTGAGTTGTGATTAATTGCTTAATCTGATAATGTTCTAATTCATGTTAGCTAAATTACATACACTATTATATTAGTTAATAAATTATAGCAGAATTCATTGCATATATTTTTATAGTTAGCATATTTTAAATTCTTAATTTAGCAAGCTTCTTACTAGACCTAATTGATTTTTAAATTCAATAATACGTTCAAGAATACTAGGAAAATCTACAATTCAATTAATAATGGTTTAGCAAGCCCTTACCTCGCAAATATTGCGAGGTAGTCCCAAACCATGGAAGCCGTCGCTAGAACTCGAAAATCCCACCGATCAAACTTCGGATTCCGCCATAGGTTCATAAAGGGAGATTGCCAGTTGGAGCACCTACTTGGGGTTGTCTTCCTGAGTTCAGACTTAAGTAATTAAGGTGCATGTTTAAAGGGGGCTAGATTTAATTTTCAAGTTATGTGTGTGCTACTCTATGCTTTCGATTATGGATGTTTTACTGGTTTTCCATGTTTAAGTTTCAAGCTATCATGGTTGCACGTTAACAAGAAAGATCATGTTTTAAAACTCAACTAACTGGCTGCACACACGACCACCTTTCTTCCCATAGTGAGGAAGTTTATCAGGTTCCCGGGTCCGGATAGAATAACAACACCTTTAGTGTTGTTATTGTAACAACAAGGACAAAAAGGTAAAACTAACCAAATATAACAAATTAAAATTAATAAATAAAATTTCAATCCCTACCTGTCTATCTCAATCTACTCCGATACCATTCCCCAGCGACCGCTTCTCCTCCCGTTCAATGTAGCCGTAGGAGCCGGCGACGGACGACATGCACTCGTAAGCGCCGGTTTCTTGCAGGACCTTGGCGAGTCCGAAATCGGCGATGTGGATGAGGGCGTCGGAGAAGCCGTGGCCCTGGTGGTCGATGGCGCAGACGAGGAAGTCGTGTTTGGCGAAGAGGATGGAGGTGAGCTGGAGGAACCAGCTCGACTCGCCGGTGAAGCCGTGGACGACGGCGATGAATCCGATTTTGTCGGCGGGAGTGAGCGGGGACCACCACTGGGTGAAGAGCTTGAAGCGGCGGGAGTTGGTCCGGTGCTCGGAGTGGTGGGAGACGTCGTGCTTGGCCTAGAATTCGGACGTGGTGAATTTGCAAAGGGCTCTGGTCGTTGGAGTCGGAAATCCGGTGCTGAACCACGGCGGCGGTGGTCTCCGCCATTGTGGAGGCAGAGCGGAGAAAAAGAGGAGGAAGAACGAATTGAGTGAAATGGGGATGAGGCACGCGAGAAGAATGTGGGAGTGAGAGAAAGTGATGGATGGGCCAATTTGTGGGCTTTTTTTCAGGGCCAATTTGTTGGCAGGGCCAGGGCGTACTGTTTAGCTAGAACAGAAGGAAACCTAATATTGAATAGAGAGAGAGAAACAGACAAAATAGAATGTGGAGTAGAAGGTTTGGTGCTGGTTGCTGCTGCTGGTTGCTGCTGCTTGATGAATTGAATGGGAATGATGGTTGGTTGGTTCATTAGGCTCACTTAAGAGCTTACTAAGTGGAGTTGTAATGTTTTAGAAGAAATGGCCTTGCAGTAGATAACTCTGGCTGCTGTGTTTTTCAGGTTTTATGTTTGTTCATATTTTCGAGCTTTGCGTACATCAACATGGTGCTGGTTTTTCTAAAGGTTTTGGTAATTGGTCCAGTGGTAATACCACTAAAACGCAGAATAAATCACCCATTTCAATGACCTTTGATGAAAATAACAAAGTAGACCACAAATCTTTCTAAAACACATCAGAAACCTGTTAATGCAAACCACAAACGCAATAAAACAAACCACATAAAGCATACCAGAAACCTCGTAAACCAGACCGCAGATGCTCTAAAACAAACCAGAAACTTCACAAAGCAAACCACAAAAATTTTAAAAACACACCAGAAATCTCATAATGCAAACCACAAACACGCTAAAGCAAACCACAAAAACAAACCAGAAACGTCCTAATGCAGACCAAAAATCTATAAAAACAAACCAGAAACCTCACAAAGCAAACCACAAAATTTTTGAAAGCACACCAGAAACCTCATAATGCAAACCACAAACACGCTAAAGCAAACCACAAAAACAAACCAGAAACGTCCTAATGCAGACCAAAAATCTATAAAAACAAACCAGAAACGTCCTAATGCAAACCAAAAATCTATAAAAACAAACCATAAACTTCATAATGCAAACCACAAACACGATAAAGCAAACCACAAAAGGCTTACAAAAATATGAGAAACCAAACCATAAATCTCACAATGCACACCACAATATCCGGTGGTCGTTGACCGTTGACCAAACTCCGACGACCGTCAGTGAGCAGATTCCGGTGCCGATAGGCATATTCCGGCCCTGATGACAGATTCCGACGTCGGTAAGCATATTCCGACGCCGGTAAGCATATTCCGACGACAAATAGCATATTCTGACGACAAAAAGGCATATTCCGGTGACCGGCAACCATTTTCCGGCGACCGGTGGCATAATTTCGGCGACCAAATTTTTGGGCAGAAAATAAAAAATATTTTATTTTATTTTTTATTTTATTTTTTATTTTTTTATTTAAAATTATTATTAAAAACATATTTTTTATAATGACAATTATACCCCTGTTTTGATTTTACATTAGGTCAACTAAGCTAATAAAAAGTCATCACAATCCTAACTTCGTATTGGTTGGAGACTAGTGTTGTTATAATAACAACAAATATGGTGTTGTCACCATATCCCCTCCCCAGGTTCCCTTCCCATTGTGAGAAGTTTATCACGTTTAGGTGGTCAAACAGTGGCGCTAGTTAGGTTGAGTTCGGGGCCCCTTTTTAAGCAAGCTAAATGAGATTTCTTGATCACGCGTATTTCAGTTCTTTGTTTTCGTTCCTCCTAAGTCGTTGAGTTGTTATCACGCCATTTTAAAATAAGTTGCACCTAGGACTGGCCCCACACCCGCACTTAGGAGCTACTAGGGAGCGGGAACGCACAGACCAACCGCTGGGACACCATTGCTGCTCAGGATGTCATCAGAAGGGTTAGTGGCCGAGAAAGCTTCACCAAGGGCTCCTTTTACTCAATGAATTTCCTTTTAGTAGACTTGAGACAGATGCTCGTTTGTGTTGAATTGACAAGGATTATTTCTGTTTGAGATTTTGGATTTTGGTTATGGATGATTTTACGTTGTTTCTCATTTTTCAAGACAAATTATTTATTTGATTCTGAAGGGTATTTTGGTAAATTTAATGACCGGCCGGTCTAGGGTGTTACAAAATGTATCAAAATACATGGTTGGTGGTGACTAGCGAGGTCTTGGGGTGGTTTTTGTTACGTTGGTGGTGGATCTATGGCGGCGTGGGGCACGGTGCGTCTTCAATGGTGGTGGTCGACAGCTTTCTCACTCTCAGGATGCAGGTTGGGGTTTATTATGGCTTAAAAGTTTTTTTAGGCTAGGATTTTGTGTGTCATGGTTCTGTGATTGTTGTTGGTCATAGGTTATGTTAAAGTGGTCATTGATAAAATCATACGGGCGGATGTTCGGATAATTGCATGGGGGCTGTTCTGGAGGAAATTGTGCGTCTTTTCACTTTTTATTCTGAATTTTCTTTTCGATTTGTTGGTCGGAGTAGTAATAGGGTTGCCCATTTGGTGGCTCGGAAGACCCTCACATTGTACTCAACTACGAATCGTTGTTTTGATTTCCTGACCTGACTGAATTCTAAGATGTAATGAGTTATTCTCTGAATCAATATATGATTATCTTTTTTTTTTAAAAAAGTGATTGTTGGTGTTTTGGGCTTGCTTTGGCCCCCTTTTATGTGGGATTTGTTTTTTTTTATTGAGTTAGAGTGTTGCTTGTTTTTTGGACTTTCCATTGCCTTAATGGGCTTGTGCTCTGTCCTTTCAGGACCTTGGTCCAACTCTGTATGAAATCCTTTTTTTCGTAATGAAATCAGGTGCCTACTAGAATGGGCTATATTACAAACACCTAGAACAAATGTGCGTTCACTTACACTACTTTACACTACTCTCAAGTAATTAGAATGCCCACATTGAACACTCATGTTATTCTCCTGTACTGGAATATTTGGAAGGCAAGGAATGAATGCGCGTTCAAGAATTGGATTCCTTGACATCCGAACGTTATTATGAGAACTTATAAGGAGTTCACTGAAGGGAAGACATGCCTGAGGAGCCCCTCTCTGATTCTCCTCATCCTCAGCTCTGGGGAGCCCACTCACTTACTTCTCCACCACCAAGCAATCCCAATTTGGTGATTCACTGTGATGGGTCGTTCCTTAGCGACTCCCAACAGGCGGCTTATGGTGTTGTAGTCATTAACCAATATGGACAAGTGTGTGATGGGCGAGCTGACACTCTCCTTTGTTCCACCCCCAATTGAAGCATAAACAAAAGCTCTTTTAGAAGCTCTCAAATTAGCTGAAGAATATGACACTGAGTGTGTTGTCCAGTCTGACTGTCAGGTGTTAGTCAATGCTCTAAATCAAGACCTGCGAAGTTAGCCATGGAGAGGAGCTGTTTGGATTAGATCAATGATCTCAATCCTAAGAGCAAACCCTCAAGTTAAGATCAAGGCGATTGCACGTAAACTTAATG